GGGGGCATTAAATAACCAGAAGATGGTCTACTAGTGCTAGATTCCTTTGAAGTTTTGGATCTTTGATTCGTTGCAGTGGGGATTGTAAAGAAGTTAGTAACTTGAGAATTACTTATCTTGGACTGACCAGTTCTTCTTACTTCTTGGAATCCTCTGGTTGGAGCTCTGTAGAAGTGCGATTCAGATTTACTTGTTTCTGACTCCTCTGAACTTTCTTCATCATTTTCTGAATCATCTGAGGTGTCGTCATCGTTTTCTTCCTCTTCTGAGTCCTCTTCCGTTTCATCATCTTCTCCTCCTCCTTCTTCCTCTTCGGAGTCCTCTTCTGTTTCATCGTCTCCTTCTTCCTCTTCTGATTGTTCTTCTGCATCATCATCGTCCTCTCCTTCTTCGAATTTTATAGCAGGGGCAGTGTACGAGTATCCAGGAAAAGACCCAGTGGCCTGAGATTCCTCAGAGGCTTCTGTCTCTTTATTCGTTCCAGTGGAAATTGTAAAAAAGTTTGTGAATCGAGAGTTACTTCCGTTTGATTCTTCAGTGTTTCTGGTCCCTTGAAATTGTCTTGCGGGTGTTCTGTAAACATTGCTTGGGCTAGTGTTCTCTATTTCAGACCCATCTGAATCGTCTGCGTCTTGGGCACCCAGGGCAGGGAAGGTATATAACTGGCTGGGGCGGGCCTTCCTCTCCTCTTCCTCTTCAGAATCCTCTATCCCTTGATTTCCTCTGGAAGGAAAAGAATAAGATTGATTAGGGCGAGTATCAGTCCTCTCTTCCTCTTCAGAGTTCTCTGTCTCTTTGTTTTGTGTAACAGGAGCTCTGTAAAGTTGTAAGGGACGAGTGATACCTTCTGAGGATTCTTCAGAGTTTTCAGTTTCCTGGGTCCTCCTGCTGGGGGCACTGTATGACTGCCTGGGTCCTGCTCTTTCTCTCTGCCCTAGTGGCCCATTCAGCAGTGAATGGTAAACTTGGCTGTTGAAAGCATCGTTAAAGTCATGAGTAGTGATCTTGAAGTGAGACAAGGGATCGAAGCTTCCTCCCACAGCCGTCCTGGTCAACGGCCGCGCTGGCGCCCGGTAAGTAGCACCACCAGACCTGCAACACAAGAGATGTTGACTGGCGAAGTCTTAATAACACCACTGCAAACAAGTCACGAAACTGGTGAGAGTTTGAACCCAGGGCAAATGAGTCCTAAAATTCACAGGTCACTCGCCATGAGTTGAAATCCCACCTGTTTCGTGTTTTTGAAGAGATTTTTTAAAAATTATTAGGCTGGACCCCTTTCAGTGGGGTGCCATGATATTTTTTTTGCAAATACCGAAAATTTTGGTGAGTATCATTTAGGGACAACAGTTGGGTATTTTTTTTGTTAAAACCCGTTTCGCCTATCCCGTAGGCTTCTTCATCAAAACAGAGGAAAGCGGGTGTAAAATTTAAGTAAAGACGAGTAATGGGTCCATCAACCTTGGATAAATAGCACTGGGGCGGCCCATCCCCCCCAAGCCGGGAAGGGAAATTTTCAGTTTCCAGGGTTTTTGGGAACTGACCACTAAAAATACCTTTTTCACTACTAAAACCTGCTGCCTCGTACCGACAAAGAAGCCTACTGTGGGGCGAAACTTTTTCAGCAAAAAAAAAGATACCCAACTGTTGAAACATGTGTCTTACTTTGATGCAATGAGGGCCCCTTTAAACTGTGAAACCAAAACCACTCTTTCTTTTTCCCTTTGGGTCCAAAACCCGATTTACAGCCAATTTTTTCCCTACAGGAATCAAGGGAAAAAAAACAAAAATTTTACAAGTATTTAAAAAGTAAAAAAAATAATCAATTGAAAAAAATGATCAAAAAATCATTTATTTTTTAAAGCAAAAACAGTAAACTTTTTTAAAAAATAAATACATAACTAGAAATAAAGAATATATTAAAGTATATATTATATATTATATCTGATGAGCCGTCAACTACCCAAAAACTTGCTCAGCAACCCAGCAAAAAGTGTCTAGGCTCACAACCGAAGGCACCTTGTTTCGATACACAGGTCAGACGAGACGTATGATCAAGTTTTGGAACGATTGTCGCTGTTCATCTAGCAGTTATGATGTTCACAAACAAGCGCAAAACCTGTAGGGGTCATAAACAGCCTGGAGAATGCTAAGTCATCAGGTTCAAGGCAAAAGTAAGAGCATCTGCAGTTACTAGGATCAAGAACCCTTCACTAGGATCAAAAAACCTTTACTAGAATCAAGACCCTTGTAATCAAGACCCAGTAAACCGGTACCTAGCTGAATAATTGGAATTTAGAAGAACAAAAAAGGCACAATACCGTGACTGGAGCAATACACAAATAACCCCCACATGGAGAGAAGCTTACCACGACGTTTCGGTCCGATCTGGACCATTAACAAGTCAAACTAACAGACGAAGGTAAGGGAGCCAGTTTATATAATAGAGCATCGTAATGCTCTTCACACCATCTCCAAGGTTGAGGGACTGATTACCTCATCTTTTGTGTACAGTTCTTCTGTCTTCCATTCTTGTCCTTGAATTTGTATTGATAAAGTCACTAGAGGGCGAAACGTCTACAATAAAGATACCCAGATGTTGCACATGTGTCTAATTTTCTTCATAGGAAGAAAGAAGGAAGTGGAGAGGTAGTGGTAAGATAAGATAAGATTTCGTTCGGATTTTTAACCCCGGAGGGTTAGCCACCCAGGATAACCCAAGAAAGTCAGTGCGTCATCGAGGACTGTCTAACTTATTTCCATTGGGGTCCTTAATCTTGTCCCCCAGGATGCGACCCACACCAGTCGACTAACACCCAGGTACCTATTTGCTGCTAGGTAGAGGTAATTCTGGTAATTCTGGTAGAGGTAATTCTGGTAGTGGACGTGGTACTGGTACTGGAATTTACATATAATTTAGTGTGGTTGAGTTGCAACTTACACACGCTGGAAGGACGAGGCTGAGATAGTCGCCAGAAAATTGGAAATATTATAGATTTTTTCTGCACTGTTTAATGTGGTTTATTCTAATAAACTGCTCGCACAGCCAGTATATATTTCACTCAATATTAAATATACGAAGAAATACCACAGTGAAAAATAAACAGGATTTCCAGTATTATTTTAATGAGGTATATATATATTTTTGTAGTCACGGGTTTTATTGCGGTCTGTTTAACTATATCTGTCTAGTGACAGAGTAATGAGAGTGAGATATATTTCAAGGCAGTGACGACTGATATATCTCAACACCAGTCACCAGGCCTGGCCGGGGGGCACTGACCCCCGAAACCTTCTCCAAGTATATTTTCCAGGTAAGGTGGGAGGGAACTGCAGCAGACAAGGAAAGAAAAGGAAGCAAGAAAAGGTCATATGACAATAAAGAAGATAATGCAGAAGACAGGTCAAGAGGAGTTGAGAGGAGGTAAGTCACGAGAGTTCTGAAGATGACAGCGTTGTGAAAATAGAGAGCGTTATTAAGATTTAAAAGACTGGAAATGTAGGGAAGGCAAAGAACAAGAGACTGCACTCAAAGTGAGTCTGGGAGGACTGCTTAATTCATGTTAGACGCTTAACCCATGTGGGTCATTCAGCTCCAGGCATAGGCTTGATCCTCCGTTTGCTGAGGACCAGACAGATGCGCTTCCTATTTGTACTTACAAATAGGATTAAAGTAAATCCATTTCGTATGAGTGGATAAGAGCATCACTTGGAAACCTCGCCCGTCTCCTTGTAATGGGATAGAATCCTGCTGACTGCGATCTTTCTCTGGATATACTCGCCTGTTTCTGCGTGGTGCACTAATGTAAAACTCGCTTGTGAGGTCAGAACATACAGGAGGAGACTGAAATAGCTTGAATCCATGCTTGAGGCTGACTGATGTGCTCTGCCTGTGAAGAAACATGGTTTGTAAACTAGGCTGCCCAGCTGATAAGGCATTTGTGGCCGAGTGGTAGAGAGCATCATTTAGGAACCTTGCCAATTTCCCTTTAGTGGGATTGACCAATATCACAATATCACACCAACACACCCAGGTTTACTGCAGCACATTCTGGCTAAGGACAACGCATCCGTTTGAGAACGATTGCCACTACTTATGAATGAAGGCATACGAAAGAAGAGTTTTCTACAGTTACCCCAAGTAATACATACAGTTTCTCTGGTGTTAGTAAATCAAAGAGAACGTTTTATTGTAATTCTTGTGGTACTCTCCGACAAGCCGCCACACCTCACAATTATGTCAATTTGTTTAATTTGCTTGTCTGTATTATGTTTACATGATAGGTAGCGTGTTTCTTATATAATTTTGCAAAACATGCCATAGATGGATTAATGAAAATATCTGTAATATCGTAAATATACGATATGTATAGCGCCCCAAAGCGACATTCTTCCTGTGTTATTGCGTCTTCAACACTAGTGAGACACTCGCCTGGAATAGCTCCTGTTTTTTTTTTATCCCAACTACCATTAGATGCCATCGTAACACAAAAATAGTATATATACGAAATAACTTTAAACTGCTTGGAACTTGAAAAAGTTTCCAGACAGAATCCAGAGAGACAGAGTTCAACAGAGAGCGTAAACAAACAGAAAATGGCCGAAAACGCCCAGCTGCCGTAATAGTGAATCAGGTGCTGGACAAGTGAATAATTGGGTATCACTGAAAACTGACGTGTTAGCGAATCGCCTAGAAGTGAAGCACTGTAAACAATAGTTCGTATACTAAGACAAAGAAATAAATTTTTTATTTGATTTGTAATTACAGAGAAAATATCATAACTAATCTATCTACTAACCTCTGTGTCTGTTGTGGTCTATCAGAATATGTGAATGAATCCCTTGTCTGCTCCTCCGAGTCCTCTTGATGGTGCTGATGTTGAGAGACATAAGGCCGACTCAGAGGTGCTTGTGGCCGTGACTTCAGGGTAACAGGCACAGGTTGAGTTATTTGGAAAAAGGACGGAGCCTGATACAATGGACGAGGTTTAGGTCTTGTCACAGGAGCCTGGTATGTAGGAAGCGGTGTTGCTGTCACGGGAGGTTGGTATATAGGGTGAGGTTTAGGTCTTGTCACAGGGGGCAGGTATGTAGGGCGAGGCCCAGGTGTTGTCACTGGAGCCTGGTATGTAGGGGGAGGGCTTGTTGTCACAGGAGGTTGGTATATAGGGTGAGGTCTAGGTCTTGCTGTCACAGGAGGTAGGTATGTAGGGCGAGGCCTGAATGGTGTCACGGGAGCCTGGTACCTAAGGCCAGGCTTAGGCTTCGAAGAAACAAACACACTGAATGGCGTGCGGGCTGTGATTTCTTGAGAACCTGCGTTTGATTCTTGTACCGACACACTTGGAGGAAAGTAGCTTACACTCGGTGCCTCCTGCGATACCTGAGGAGGAAAATATGTTGAACCAGGTGTCCTTGGCACCGAGGGAAGAGGGAGCACCTGTCTCGAAGGAGGAGATAGATCGTCACTTCCTAAGGCATCGAAAGATTTCTTCGGAACTGGATAAGAGTATCCAGAAATCTCTTCGGAGATGTCATCACTGGTACTTGGCGGATTTAAATCACTACCACCTGTGGGGTCAAAGGATTGTTCAGAAGATTCTTCTGAGGACTCTCCAGGGGCATCCGGAGGTGAAAAGTCAGTGGATCCTAGGATGTCGAAGGACTTCTGTGGAACAGGATAAGAATATCCTGATGGTTCTTCAGATTCATCAGAATCCTCGCCAGGAGGTTTTGGAGGAGTTATCGCACTTGATCCTAGGATATCGAAGGATTTAGCTGGAACTGGATAAGAATAACCTGACGGTTCTTCAGATTCATCAGATGAATCATCAGAAGGTTCTTCAGGAGTATCTGGAGGAGTAAAGTCCGTAGATCCTAGGATGTCAAAGGACTTCTGTGGCACTGGATAAGAATATCCTGATGGTTCTTCAGATTCATCAGACGAATCATCAGACGATTCTTCAGGAGTATCTGGAGGAGTAAAGTCAGTGGATCCTAGGATGTCGAAGGATTTCTGTGGGACAGGATAAGAATATCCTGATGGTTCCTCCGCCTCTTCAGAATCCTCGCCAGGAGCTTCTGGAGGAGTTATTGCACTTGATCCTAGGATATCGAAGGATTTCTGTGGCACTGGATAAGCATATCCTGACGGTTCTTCAGATTCTTCTTCAGAGTCTTCTGGAGCATCTGGAGGAGAGAAGTCAGTGGATCCTAGGATGTCGAAGGATTTCGCAGGAACTGGATAAGAATATCCTGACGGTTCTTCAGATTCTTCTTCAGATTCTTCAGGAGTATCTGGAGGAGTAAAGTCCGTAGATCCTAGGATGTCAAAGGACTTCTGTGGCACTGGGTAAGAATATCCTGATGGTTCTTCAGATTCATCAGACGAATCATCAGACGATTCCTCAGGAGTATCTGGAGGAGTAAAGTCAGTGGATCCTAGGATGTCGAAGGATTTCTGTGGGACAGGATAAGAATATCCTGATGGTTCCTCCGCCTCTTCAGAGTCCTCGTCAGAAGGTTTTGGAGGAGTTATCGCACTTGATCCTAGGATATCGAAGGATTTCTGTGGCACTGGATAAGCATATCCTGACGGTTCTTCAGATTCATCAGACGAATCATCAGACGATTCTTCTGGAGTATCTGGAGGAGAGAAGTCAGTGGATCCTAGGATGTCGAAGGATTTCGCAGGAACTGGATAAGAATATCCTGACGGTTCTTCAGATTCTTCTTCAGATTCTTCAGGAGTATCTGGAGGGGTAAAGTCAGTGGATCCTAGGATGTCGAAGGACTTCTGTGGGACAGGATATGAATATCCTGATGGTTCCTCCGCCTCTTCAGAATCCTCGCCAGGAGGTTCAGGAGGAGTTATCGCACTTGATCCTAGGATATCGAAGGATTTGGCTGGAACTGGATAAGAATATCCTGACGGTTCTTCAGATTCTTCTTCAGATTCTTCAGGAGTATCTGGAGGAGAGAAGTCAGTGGATCCAAGAATGTCGAAGGATTTCTGTGGGACAGGATAAGAATATCCTGACGGTTCTTCAGATTCTTCAGAATTCTTGCCAGGAGGTTCTGGAGGAGTTATCGCACTTGATCCTAGGATATCGAAGGATTTGGCGGGAACTGGATAAGAATATCCTGACGGTTCCTCCGCGTCTTCAGAATCTTCACTTGGAGCTTCCGGTGGAGTTATCGCACTTGATCCTAGGATATCGAAGGATTTCTGTGGCACTGGGTAAGAATATCCTGATGGTTCTTCAGATTCATCAGACGAATCATCAGGCGATTCTTCAGGAGTATCTGGAGGAGAGAAGTCAGTGGATCCTAGGATATCGAAGGATTTCTCTGGGACAGGATAAGAATATCCTGACGGTTCTTCAGATTCTTCTTCAGATTCTTCAGGAGTATCTGGAGGAGAGAAGTTAGTGGATCCTAGGATGTCGAAGGATTTTTGTGGGACAGGGTAAGAATATCCTGATGGTTCTTCAGATTCATCAGACGAATCATCAGGCGATTCTTCAGGAGTATCTGGAGGAGAGAAGTCAGTGGATCCTAGGATATCGAAGGATTTCTGTGGGACAGGATAAGAATATCCTGACGGTTCTTCAGATTCTTCTTCAGATTCTTCAGGAGTATCTGGAGGAGTAAAGTCAGTGGATCCTAGGATGTCGAATGATTTCGCAGGAACTGGATAAGAATATCCTGACGGTTCTTCAGATTCTTCTTCAGATTCTTCAGGAGTATCTGGAGGAGTAAAGTCAGTGGATCCTAGGATGTCGAAGGACTTCTGTGGGACAGGATAAGAATATCCTGATGGTTCTTCCGCCTCTTCAGAATCCTCGCCAGGAGGTTTTGGAGGAGTTATCGCACTTGATCCGAGGATGTCGAAGGATTTCTGTGGAACAGGATAAGAATATCCTGATGGTTCTTCAGATTCTGCAGAGGACTCGCCAGGAGCTTCTGGCGGAGTCATGTCATTGCCTCCAGTTGGATCAAAAGACTTTAGAGGGATGGGGAAAGCGTATCCCGAAGTCTCATCCGATTCAGAGGACTCGGGAGGATGAAGGACACTGCCGGCGGAAGGATCGAATGACGTCGCTGGTGCAGGATATGCATATCCTGATGAAACCTCTTCTGATGGAGGCTCCTGGCGGTGTCGGTGGTAGCGGAAACGCTGGTGGCGACGTGAGGACCCAGCAGGCGTGTCTGGCCTAGCGAACACCACCACCAGGAGAGTGAAGACCACGCCAATATGTGCCTGAAAATCAATAAAATAATATAATAACCATTGGGACGGAGAGAGATTCTTGCAATGCTTTTTAAAAATCTGGCTCATATAGTAACGAGTTCTAGGTAAGGCGGGTGAGCTGATCTGTTTAGAGCGGGTAGAGAAAACTGGTCAAGGGCGATAATGTCTTAACTCAGACTGCCTGCTTGTAGTAAACTCGCTAACCTTGCCTTCATTATTGGAACAGATCGTGCAAGATCGCCCCTCAGTGGTGACGCAATTTGAAAATCAGCTGCATGACGTCAGTTCGTCCAGTTAGTGACAAGCAGATGGTCCTCCAGTCATTGCAAGGTTCTCTTAGTCCAGTTAGTGGCATACAGATGGTCCCTCCAGTCACTGTAAGGTTCTCTTCGTCCAGCTAGTGACACTCAGATGGTCCCTCCAGTCATTGTAAGGTTCTCTTCGTCCAGCTAGTGACACTCAGATGGTCCCTCCAGTCATTTTAAGGTTCTCTTCGTCCAGCTAGTGACACTCAAGTGGTCCTCCAGTCATTGTAAGTTTCTCTTCGTCCAGCTAGTGACACTCAGATGGTCCCTCCAGTCATTTTAAGGTTCTCTTCGTCCCGCTAGTGACACTCAGATGGTCCCTCCAGTCATTGTAAGGTTCTCTTCGTCCAGCTAGTGACACTCAGATGGTCCCTCCAGTCATTGCAAAGTTTTCTTCATCCAGTCAGTCGATTCATTTTGTACAGTCATAATGAAAACAGTTTTTATCCACTCAACACAAATTCCATGTCATAGGTCAACACAGGATTATGTACAGGTGAAATGTGTTGTCTTTAATATATAAAAAAATAAAAATTAAACGCTTACACAATCAAAGGGAATTTTTAATTGGTACAGATAAAAATTATTTTAACTATATTCACAAAGAGAGCTAATCCCGTATGGGTCAAACTGCGTTGCTCTTAAAGAGAAATATTTACAGTGTTAGTTGATATTTAAACCATACCTCGGGCGGGGTTAGAACCCGCGGTCAGAGAGTCATGAACTCCAGACCGACGCGATAGCGAAGGGAATTTTTTTTATGGGATGTTTAACACATAGACAATGTATCATCCGAGATGGATTGAAAATCTCAGCTGTTTGTTTAATACATGCTAAACGCTAAACCCATGTGGGTCACTCATCGCCAGACGTGGTGGAGGCTTGATCCTCCGTCTGCTGAACGCGAGATAGATGCGTTTACTGTACGTACTCACCTAATGCACGAAAATTTCAGCGCCTGGGTACTGTACTGGAAAGACTGGAGGGAGTATTAGCATGTGCAGCATGCTAATACTTAGCATGTACTACCTAGGTAGAGCTGGTAGACAGCAAACCACCAGGGAGTTCTACTGTCGTGGTGGTAGTAGGCTGGTTAGACAGCACACACCAGGAGGTTCTACTGTCGTGTGTAGTAGCTGGAGACAGCAACCACACAGGGAGGGTACTACCGCGTGTGGGTATGTAGGCTGGTAGACAGCAACGGTCACCCAGGGAGGTAAGACCGTCCTGTGGTAGTAGGCTGGTAGAACAGCACCCACCCAGGAGGTACTACCGTCGTGTGGTAGTAGCTGGTAAACAGCAAACCAGCCCAGGGAGGTGCTACCGTCCTGTGGTAGTAACTGTTAGACCAGTAACCACCGGGAGGTACGACCGTCCCTTTGGTATAGGCTGGTATGAACAGCAACCACCCAGGGAGGTACTAACCGTCGTGTGGTAGTACTCTGTAGACAGCAACCACCCCGGGAGGTGCTACGTCCTTGGTAGTAAGCTGGTAGACAGCAACCACACAGTGGAGGTACTACCAGTCGTGTGGTAGTAGGCTGGTAGACAACCAATCACACAGGGACGTACTACTTCCCTTGGTAGTAGGCTGGTAGACATCAACACCCAGGGAGGTACGACCGTCCTGGTGATAGTAGGCTGCTAGAAACAGCAACACCCAGGGAGGTTACTACCGTCGTGTGGTAAATTAGGCTGGTAGCCAGCAACCACAACAGGGAGGTACTACAGTCGTGTGGTAGAGGCTGGTAAGACAGCAACCACACGGGAGGTACAACCGTCCTGTGGTAAGTAGGCTGGTAAACATCAAGCACCCAGGGAGGTACGACCGTCCTGTTGTAGTAGGCTGGTAACAGCAACCACCCAGGGAGGTACTACATCCTGTGGCAGTAGGCTACTGGTAGACAGCAACCACACTGGAGGAAGGTACTACGTGTCCTGTGGTAGTAGGCTGGTAGAACAGCCACCCACCCAGGGAGGTACTACCGTCGTGTGGTAGTAGGCTGGTAGACAGCAACCACCCAGGGACGTACTACCGTCCTGTGGTGGTAGGCAGCAACCACTCAGGGAAGTACTACAGTCCTGTGGCAGTAGGCTGGTAGACAGCAACCACACAGGGAGGTACTACCGTCCTGTGGTAGTAGGCTGGTAGACAGCCACCACCCAGGGAGGTACTACCGTCCTGTGGTAGTAGGCTGGTAGACAGTAACCACCCAGGGAGGTACGACTGTCCTGTGGTAGTAGGCTGGTAGACAGCAACCACCCAGGTTATTAACGTTCTGTGGCAGTAGGCTGGTAGACAGCAACTACCCAGGGAGGTACTACCGTCGTGTGGTAGTAGGCTGGTAGATAGCAACCACCCAGGAAGGTACTACCGTAGTGTGGTAGTAGGCTGGTAGACAGCAACCACACAGGGAGGTACTTAACCGTCCTGTGGTAGAGGCTGGTAAGAACATCACCACCCAAGGAAGGTACGACCGTCCTGTTGTATAGCTGGTAGACAGCAACAACCAGGGAGGTACTACCGTCGTGTGGTAGTAAGGCTGGTAGACAGAAACCACTCCAGGGAGGTACTACCCGTCCTGGTAGTAGGGGCTTGGTAGACAGCAACACACAGGGAGGTACTACCGTCCCCTGTGGTATGTAGGCTGTAGCACATCAACCCACCCAGGGAGTACTACCGTCCAGTGGAAGTAGGCAGCTAGCAGCAACCACCCAGGGAGGTTCTATCGTCCAGTGGTAGTAGGCTGTGTAACAGCAAACCGCCCAGGGAGGTACTACCGTCGGTGTGGTAGTAGGGCTGGTAGTACAGCAAACTACCCAGGGAGGTATTACGTCCTGGTGGTGTAGGTTTGGTAGCAGCAACCACTCAGGGAGGTACTAGACCGTCCTGTGGGTAGAAGTCTGGTAGGAGTAAACCACCCAGGGAGGTACTTTCCGCCTGTGGTTGTAGGCTGGTAGAACAGCAACCACCCAGGGAAGGTACTACCGACGTGTTGGTAGTAGGGGCAGGCAGATAGCAACCGCCCATGGAGTACTCTACTGTCGTGTGTTAGTAGGCTGGTAGACAGGCAGCCACCCAGGGAGGTACTACTGTCGTTGTGTTAGTAGGCTGGTAGACAGCCACCACCCCAGGAGGTACTACCGTCCTGTGGTAGTAGCTGGAGACATTACCCACCCAGGGAGGTACGACCGTTCCATGTGGTAGTAGGCTGGTAGAACAGCAACCACCCAGGGTATTAACGCTTGTGTAGTAGGCTGGTAGACAGCAACTACCCAGGGAGACAAACCGTCTGTGGGTAGTAGGCTGGAAGATAGTCAACCACCCAGGAAGGTACTACGTAGTGTGGTAGTAGGCTGGTAGACAGCAACACCCATAAAGGTACTACCGCCCTGTGTAGTATGGGCTGGTAGACAGCAACCACACAGGGAGGTACTACCGTACCTGTGGTTGTAGGCTGGTAGACAGCAACCACCCAGGGAGGTACTACCGTCGTGTGGTAGTAGGGGCTGGTAGATACACCGCCAGGGAGGTACTACTGTCGTGTGTTAGTAGGCCTGGTAGACAGCAACCACCCAGGGAGGTATTCTACCGTCCTTGAGCCCTGTAATTGTTTACACCCATGATGGTAGGATTGTTGGTGTCTTTTTTTCTGTCCCATATACATGCTACTTCTACTTACACTTAGGTTAGGTCACACTACACATACATTATGCACAAGCATATATATATATATAATATATATATATATATATATATATATATATATATATATATATATATATATATATATATATATATATAGATATATATATATATATATATATATATATATATATATCTATAATTATAATATAAATATATATATAAATAGTATAAATATATATATATATACAACCCTTCTGGGCTTTCTTTATTTTCTTACTAGTTCTTGTTCTTGTTTACTTCCTCTTATCTCCATTGGAAAGTGGAACAGAATTCTTCCTCCGTAAGCCATGCGTGTTGTAAGAGGCGACTAAAATGCCGGGAGCAAGGGGTTAGAAACCCCTTCTCCTGTATATATTAATAATTTAAAAAAAAGAAAGTGAGATACGGTCGATGTACCACATCTAGAACTGTCCTGGGGACCCTCATTCTCAGAGAAAAGAATAAACTTACTTCAGGGAAAACTCAAGATTATCCCCGAAGCTGTTTGAATATTTTCATCTCCTACCACCCTCTATATGCTATATTCTTGTGAATCTTTATTAATAGACAGGAAATACATTTAGACACACAAATCAATGTGTTGCAAGAAAGGTATAAAATACCGACAATATGAAAGTTGAGACACATAAGCAACATCTGGATATCTTTAATTGTAGACGTTTTCGCATCCAGTGGCTTTTATATCATACAGATTCTAGGTATAATTGGAAGACAGCAGAATATATGCAAAAATGAACACTAACTCCAAGCTGAGGGACTGATTACCTCAACTATTGAGATATATAATCTGCTGTCTTCTCTCTATCTAACTACTCAATTATGTCCTAGAATCTGTATTGATAAAGCCACTGGATGGCGAAACGTCTACATTAATGATATCCAGATGTTGCATATGTCTTAACTTTCACAAATCAATGTGTATGTATGTATGTATGTATGTATGTATGTATGTATGTATGTATGTATGTATTAAAATACTGTGATATATTTTGTGT